TATTGAACACAATTTTTAGTAAGCACTGCCCATACATAAAGATATACATAGATACATGCATGCATGCATGCATACATACATACATACATACATACATACATACATACATACATACATACATACATACATACATACATACATACATACATACATACATACATACATACATACATACATACATACATACATACATAGGCACATACATACATGATACATTAGAACAGTCACAATTTATATTCCAACGCAATACTATTAATTTTATTTTTGAATGTATTAACCAGCATTATTATATTTTTCTTGATAGAAATAATACTTATAAATTCAGAATGATTCCTGCTGGAATACAAATTTGAAATTGTGTATTTTTTATGCAATAATATTTGTGTATCCAGAGTTAAAATTGAAAGCAATAATTGACTTTGTCAATACTCTGTACTGAAATGAAGGCTATAATCTATTCTTTCGATAATAGTATACAACGAATATGATAACAATGATGTCAGTAATGTTCACACTACCAAATTAACAAATATCGTAAGTTTTTTATTCAACGTAGGATAGGTAGCATTATAGAGCTAGCTCATAATGCACCCATGCTGCATTAATATATTCCAGGCAAACCTCGTGTTATACAGCACCGCAAACTTCCTCTTTTATGTTCCAATCTAAAGTAGAGCCATGAAATATGTTTCATTTACTTACGTATAGTCATGATGCATGTTCATCGTGAATGTAAACACTTACCGATATCTAAAAGGAAAAAAAATCCAATTAATGGTGTGTCCGTATTCATACGTACTAAATCAAAGGCAGCGTTTAGATGTTGAATCGTTATTAATACACATTATAACAATTACAAGCTTCACACATTGTACGAAAAACTGAGGCTATTTCATCACAGAGATATAAATCACATTTAAATTATAGTAAATCATAGAGATGCTACTAGAAAGCATGAATAACTTGGTAATATAAATTTGACTATAACAACTTTGTGTCGAATGTTATTTTACACTATTGTAATGATTTTTCTCGGGGGACCTAACATCGTTGCTCAGATAAAGTCTGTACTATTTTAAGCATTTTGTCAGTACAATCAAGGTGTTCGCTTACGAGTGTATTGGAATGCAATTATGTATTTTAACTAAATTAATTTTATAGGCAAAGTTATAGAATAATATCTAAGTCGTGTTATCAAAAGATCATAAGATAGAATGAAAGTTGCCGTCATTATATATTCTATAAAAATAGAAGGCAGCTAACAATAATAGCAGTGAAAAGGATAAATATATAACGATGTTTTACATTGAGCATAGTGTAACTTTAGTATGTCTACCGTATATCACCTTTACCTGATACATGCACTAAATATCAGCGGGAGAAATCATGCAAAAATTCCAGTTGGTAAAAAATAATCGTGATTCGGGCAACACTGATTTCTTCATATAATAATTTCTTCGCCGAAAGAAAATAAGAAATGCGTTTAACAGGAGTTTAAAAACATTAGCATGCAACATTTTTGTAGCAGTCACATTGAATATGGCATTAGTTTTGGAAATTCGTTAGCCTTAGTTTCACCACATATCCATCAGGCAAACAATTTAAGGCATAATGAGAGATGGATGCTAAAGCACTATGTATCAGGAAAAAATATTTTTGAACCTTATATTACGATATGGAATGTTATCCTTTGTTATAATACATAACAACATCCAAACATATGCACATTTATTTCCAATACACTTCAATGTTAACCTAGAATAACTACTAGACAGCTAATCTAAAGGTGAAACGAACTATGAAACAAGGCATGTGCTATGCTGTAGCTCTTTAAACAATGATTTATTAAAACCTAGGTATTTCATTGGAAGAAAAGTTAAATATTGTAAGCAAGAAACCACAACATAGTTTCAAATATAATTAAAAAATAATTTATCATTAAATAGCAACTATAGTCTCTCTTTTGTTTGAGGTCCAAGGAGAATTATGACTGGTGTAAGAAGAAATTTATCTGATGGAAATATTTATCATGGAATGTTCCGATCTTCTCACATGAGACCAGCATGCGTTTGCCACACTTTCTAATTTAGTACAGCTTATTGCGAAGCATTTGTCTACTGCAACTCTCTGAACAATTAATCCACATAATTGGTGAACCACTATATACCAGCTGATGTGGTGCAAGGTAATGAGAAGGCAGTTATGCACCATTTAAAGTAAGCACGAGGATTTGACCACATCTGTCATTATGCTACTTACTCTAATAAATAATGGAGTATCTTCCGTGGCTGAACTGAGATTAAATATAGTGGTCTAGACTATGACAGATGTATGAGGCTTATATGAGATTATCCTCTATACAAAATCATTTATCCAACTATCTCCATTGTAATGTGATCATACATACATACATACATACATACATACATACATACATACATACATACATACATACATACATACATACATACATACATACATACATACATACATACATACATACATACATACATACATATATGCATGCATGCATGCATACATTGGCATGGTTTAGATGTCGCATCATTATTAACATGTAATATAACAATTAAAAGCTTCACACATTGAAAGAAAAATTGAAGCTATTTCATCACAGAGATACAAATTACAGGAGATCATAGAGATGCTACTAGAAAGCATGAATAACGTGGTAATATAAATTTGACTATAACAACTTTGTGTCGAATGTTATTTTATACTATTGTAATGATTTTTCTCGGGGGACCTAACATCTTTACTCAGATAAAGTCTGTGGTATTTTAAGCCTTTTTTTCTCAGTTCAACCATGGTGATCGCTTACGTATTTGTTGGAATGCAATTATGTATTTTAACTGAATTCCTTGTATAGGTAGTTATATAACAATATGTTAATCGTATCATGAAAGGATCGTAAGATAGAATATATTGCAGTTTAGTCACAGCTGACCAGAATATGAAAAAGGATCTTGTCCCAGGGGATTATAAGGTGTATGTCAGGGAGAAGTTCGTGTCTCTTGAGCACTCGCACATTGGGGAAAGGGGTGGGGATCAATAGTCGCCTCACCCCAATTTCTATTATCAGCCAGTTGATGTGAAACCTTGATTTTATACCAGACCTCTTTTATTTTAAACGCTGCTACTGAAACTGCCTAAGATAAAGTTTTATATCAGTTTCATTCACTATAGATTACCGTTTATACATATTACATGTAACCGGCATAGACTGAAAAGTTTGCTTTTAAGGTTTGTTTTTTTGTAATACAATTTTAAATGTTAAGATTACTGAAAAGTGTGTTGTCTCGAAACACGACTGTGCAAGGGGTTTTGAATCTTAATTTTTAGCAGAGCTCCCATTTTATTAAAATCAGATCTTAATTTCACCTAGGGCTGCGGAGATTTGATTTAAATTGTGCCGTGTTATGGCATGTATGTAAACATCCTGCAATACATTTACTCATTTCCTCAAGAAAACATTTCTTTTTAAGCCCACAAGCCCGATGGGCACCTCACTTAGACCACAGGATGGGCCGGAATTAAAATATGAGAATCCTTGGTTGTCGTGTTAACTACTGCTGATGTAGAAAAAAATGTATGTGCATTGATTGTTGCATTTTGTGTTCACTTACTCGGCCTTCTGTGTATCTTTCTAACTCACACGTTTAATTCTTTTCCTAGGATTTAAAATATCTTTTTCGCTGGCGACTGCCAGTCAAGATGCAGTCGCTTCTATGACGTCACATCACGAAAATAACCGAATAGGCGCAGCAATTTTTCATACGAAGTCGCGGAAATAAAGCGACTTGAATTTAAGCCAATATTTATATTTATTCACAATAAGGTCACAGATAATATTTCAGAATAAGGTTTAGCTCTATAGAACTTTTATTTTTATTATTCTATATTTATTTTGATTTCTGGTCTCCTTTAAAGAACAATCAATCCATCATTCTGAATGTAAATCCGACCCAGTTTGGTTCGGTTCGTTGTTCTGCGGCAAAGCAATGCAAGTACATTATTTAGTACCGAGTCAATTGGGGGAAAACACGCTATATTGCTCTGTTCGCTTTTCTAAATGGTGGGATGTGTGACGCAGAAAATTTACGTTAACCTTATTATTACAGACGTCCACTTCAAATTGCTGCATAATTATACATAATAATGTTTCGACATAATTTTCTTTGAATTAAAGTTAGGTGCTTTTGCAAAAAAGTATGATGTTATCTTCATAGATAAAGTACTGTTCTTTTGGGTCTTTATATTCATAGTTTATAGCACCTACGGAATCCACAAAAGCTGGTACCACCAATAATGTTTAAGCTAGTACAAGTTTAGTCGGCAGTATTCTGGTGAAAACTCTTAGCACTTGCTCAAGAATTTGTAGTTATTAAGGTGAGGTGGGTTTGGGTGGGGGGTTCTTTTTGTGTTATCCTCTGTTTAGGCATGACAAATTCGCGGGAATGCGTTCAGGTCTTTTGATATGAGCATACAATACGCTTCTTTCTTTTCCTTTACACAGTTATCTCAAAGGACCCTCAAATTTAGGTAAAATTATGACCGTTAACGGGCGTTGCTGAGTTGAACAGATGCCGAGTGAAATGAAGAATTACACCCCGTGCAATGTATAAACTACGTACAGAAACTTTTTAAGATAACAGTTTATTTATTTATTTATTTATTTATTTATTTATTTATTTATTTATTTATTTATTTATTTATTTATTTATTTATTTATTTATTTATTTATATTTAAGAACTATTTGAGAAGTAGAATGTAATTACCAATTACACAGCTTGCCTCGACGAAGCTTTTAGTAGTCTCCTAGTCCCTTGCATAAATAAAGCAAATGCCAAAGTGAGGTGACCTACAAAATGCTGACCATTATCACAGGGCATAACATTCATAAAACAATAAAGAGAATTAATTTTGCGCTATCAAAGCAGTGAAACCAACATGAGTTAATAAAACCATTTTTGCAAACCGTTGCTCTGGTGGTTTTATGTGGCTAGAGCGTCCGCCTTGGATGCGAGAGGTCGCAGGTTCGAACCCCGGTCGAGTCATACTAAAGTATTATAAAAACAATTACTAGTAGCTGCCTCACCTGACTCTCAGCATTTAGAGGTTAGTATTAAGACTTGTCGGCCTGGTGTCAGGATAATGTTACTAGGTGGAAGATAATGCTACATATCTGTTGCGTGATAATCCAGTGCAAAGAGATCACTTATAAACTCTCACACTGCAGACATAGTAGCGATATTTAAAGCTACGTTGGAAACCTAAATCACACACACACACATTTTGCTAAGTTATTTCCTATCCTAAATATAATCTTGTTCATATTTCAACCGCTTTTTAATATCATAAACGATGATAATATTCAAATGCTGATGTTAGTTATTGTGCTGATTTTTTATTACTATTGCTCGCTAGGTATTTGCTATATCGAACTTGAAAACAGAAGAACTACCAGTAGCCTTTTAATGTAACTTAAACAGTCTATTCAAACAAATCGCACGTAGTTAAATATATAACATCAAAATGAACGACAAATGATATTGAGACAATTTATCAAAATGAACTATAACAAGCTGATCGTTTGAATTTAAAAAAAATTCTAAACCGAAAACTGGATCTTCAGAACTCTGAAAACATACATACATACATACATACATACATACATACATACATACATACATACATACATACATACATACATACATACATACATACATACATACATACATACATACATACATACATACATACATACATACATACATACATACATACATGCATACATGCATACGTACATACATGCATACGTACATACATGCATACGTACATACATGCATACATACATACATACATACATACATACATACATACATACATACATACATACATACATACATACATACATACATACATACATACATTCATACATACATACATACATACATGCATGCATGCATGCATGCATGCATGCATGCATGCATGCATGCATACATACATACATACATACATACATACATACATACATACATACATACATACATACATACATACATACATACATACATACATACATACATACATACATACATACATACATACATACATACATACATACATACATACATACATGCATGCATGCATACATACATACATACATACATACATACATATACATGCATACATGCATGCATGCATACATGCATACATACATACATACATACATACATACATACATACATACATACATACATACATACATACATACATGCATGCATGCATGCATGCATGCATGCATACATACATACATACATACATACATACATACATACATACATACATACATACATACATACATACATACATACATACATACATACATACATACATACATACATACATACATACATACATACATACATACATACATACATGCATGCATACATGCATACATACATACATACTTAAATACATACATACATACATACATACATACATACATACATACATACATACATACATACATACATGCATGCATGCATGCATGCATGCATGCATGCATGCATGCATGCATGCATGCATGCCTGCCTGCCTGCCTGCCTGCCTGCCTGCCTGCCTGCCTGCCTGCCTACCTACCTACCTACCTACCTACCTACCTACCTACCTACCTACCTACCTACCTACCTACCTACCTACCTACCTACCTACCTACATACCTACCTACCTACATACATACATACATACATACATACATACATACATACATACATACATACATACATACATACATACATACATACATACATACATACATACATACATACATACATACATACATACATACATACATACATGCTGTAATACGCTTACATTTTGCATATTGTAGGTAATATTACTGAATCTCATTTCAAACTAACTGTAATAAACTTAAATTATGACACTCCCTGTGATATTATTTAGCAACAATAAGGCATCATAACTGTAACGTGCTTAATGAGGATGTTCAATGTGATATTAGTCAGTGTAAAAAGTAGCATAATTGTAGCTAGCTTTAATTGTGGTGCTAAATGCAATACAATCAGTGCCAAGAATATTAAAACAGTATTATGCTTAAATTTGAATAATGTTTGCATTAGTAGTCAGTGACAAAAGAATCATAACTGTAATGTGTTTATATTCATATATGGATATGTTATGTAATATTACTCGATATGTATGTGTCTGTGTGGTACATATTTTATTATTTCTTTTTTATATTCACAAAAAATTATTGTTACTGCATTATTCTCTTTTTTTGTGGCTAGTAGTGTTTGATACGTATATTATGTTTGACAACGAAATCTTTTTTAAACAAACATCTCTCATTTTGGAAATCCGATTTACCGATATAAATCTACTGCATACCATGACATAGAAATGGATGATGACAGAAATGTGTGACTCCATTGGTCTCTCTTTCTCGATAAAACTAAAATTATTGTTTGTAAGATAGTTATAGGTGAATATTATTTAGGACAACTGCTTCTAGGCAAGTAAAGGCTAAAATAGTTTAACAAGACTATAGACTATTTTATATGATGAAAGTCTTATCTTCCTATTAGTCAAGTTTATATTTCTCTCACACAACATCTTCACATACTGAGCACAGCTGCAAAACATGATAAAGCCGTCATCAATACCAGTACATCTCTGTAATTGAATGCACATATGCAGCCTAAACTTAGCATCTAATGTGTGTTTAGAAATGAAAATGATATCTGGACAACAAGATGATCCCATTAGTTGACTTTCTGGCTTAAATGTATTTTCGTTATAGAAGGGCTTTGCATGCATTTATTTCCCAAGTGGAGTTTTCTAGGGTTTAAAATTCCTCTGGTAAATTGACTATTGTTTTCTACTTCCAGCTGTTAATGTTTGATTTTATTCTGTAACATTAGTGAGTTTTGAAGATAGTGCACACTTGTCGAACAAATAACGGTTGAATGATGTGGAAATTATGGATGACTCCAATTCATGCATTTCGCCTACACATAGACTTCATTATTAATGACTATGAGGGAAATCAAGCTAAATGCTTCTGTTCCAGTCGAGGTCATTCATACACCTAATTGGTGCGTGGATCTGTGATCTTATATATAAACACTGACAATGACTTTTGACATTCTTGTGTGTCCCGTTCCTGCCTCTATAGAGGCGGTCACGAGTTCCAAAATCATGGAAACTTAATCTTTCAACAATTATTTTTTTAAAATTTTATATTTAAACTGTCTTTTCATCTCCAGTATCCCCATTATTTATTTCTTTTAAAAATTAGTTTTTTATGTTCAAATTTTGTTTTATGGATCCCTTGTAAAAATGGACAATAAATCTTTAGTCACTGTGCTATAAAAACTAAACATACATGGTCCAAACAAAACGTGTAAAACGGAGAATGTGATTTATCTCATCACATTTAAGATCTGTGGCCTTCAGTACGTCGGAGAAACTGAAAAGCTACACAAAAGGATAAACCTTCATAGATCTGATTGGATGACAAAAAAGCTGTACAGAAGCCTGGTCGCAGAACACTTCTCCTCCCCTGGCCACACTTTCAGTGATATAATACTTATCGCTAATGCTAACAACCACAGCTGTAGTTCCGAAACCAAGAAGGAAAAGGAATCATACTGGAGATGCCGCCTTAGAACATTGAAACCAAGCTGTCTACACCAAGAAGACTAGAAAATGAAAACTATGCACCAGTAGAATTTAACATTTTCTAAATCTTTTTATTATCCATCAATTTTTACTATAAGAATACCCGGTATAGAATCAAAAATCCGGGATATAATCTGCGTTACATATGTACAAAAAGTAAAAATAGATGTCGCTTTGGCTTGTAGACTTTTAGGGAATTATACAACGTTTTCAGTTTCCGCAACTAGTCTATACAAGCTGGTTGCATTTATAGTTTTAGCACATGTGAAGACAGCCATGTAGTGGTTTACAAACACAACGTTTTTGTGTTTATTCGTTTGTCGTATATATGTTTTGTATTTGCATTTGAAAAAGACTCATTAAGAGTCGAAAGCGCTTAGGCTAGTTAGTTACACCATGCCCAGCACGCAAATAGAGTAAGACATATTGAAAGATTAAAGATATACCTCAATTTACCAGAAAAACCTCTAATTTGTTTATACAGTATGCAAATATAAATATATTGAATAATCAATTAGACAGATAATTATTGCGGTGGCGTCGATCATTTCTACAAATCATTGACTTATTTCTTCATCACACTTTGTTCGTAATACCATCTGCATTTTCCCAAGAAAATTTAAACCCACTCTTGTTCATAAATATATCTGAAGTTTCCCTAGAAAAGTCGGTCCCTCCATTTTTCTTCATGCTTCACACCATTTACATTGCAGCAATAATTAATTGGTTTCTAATCATTTTCTATTTTTTTCGAGGTGATCTTACGTCTACTTGTATCGGTGATTTGTGAGCAGAAGTGTTTGGATATTATCGTTTCACAAACTCTGATCAAGTGCTGAAAAGTCCGAAATCAGTAATTTAGTTAGGGAGTTTCTGCCGTTTTAATATCCGTTATCTGTAATGGACAGCGAAAAACGTCCAGAATGGTGATTGGTAGATTAAAACAAGTTTGGATATTTATGATTCATTACAATAATATTATCACTTTGCGAAAATGTCCAAACTCAATATCGTTTTTAGATAGAGTCTTCTTTGTTCGAATCAATGACATAGTATTGAGATGGAAATAAATTATATATTGTCGCCAACACTGACATAGTATTCAGTCAGTATTCGCTGTTTCCGTGCATTTTATTATAAACGAACGCACAATACAAACATAAATCATTGGCTACATGAACCATTTTTATGGTGAAGATAAGTAAAAAACATCATCGAAATCGGATTGACCAACGAAGAAGACATGGTAAGCCTCGTGTATAAGGCCACGTCGTCAGGCCATGTCATGCTCACGGATTATTTTAAAAAAACACTCGATGTCATGGAGCAGTTTACGGTTGACAAATGCTTA